ATATGTAAACGTACATAATAATAACGTCTCGTCACTATTAATAACGTAACTTGAGAGAATATCTCATGTATTCACAATATTCAATTTGAAATCAATGCTGGCAATAAAGCAATGGCGGCTGTATGCAATCCCGCTCATGTGCATCCAGTGTTATGCAACATGTAACGTACATTATCATCTGATATATTAGGCTTTCATATTAAATTTATCCGAAGAATAATTTTGTGATGTATCTTGAAACATTTATAGATCATAAATGTTATGGAATGGGTGAAATATATTTTTATTATTTTTAGCATAATGTGCTTTATTTTCCCGCGTACTAAGAAAACCTTCGCAATGATTGGCTTGCAGTTTTGAAATCGACCAATAGTACTGAAGATCAGGCGTGTGACGTATCGTTTAAAACACCGAGTATATCAAGTTGTAACCGTGGTCGCCATGCCATGCGACTGTCTCGGGTCTAAGAATTTTGTTTCCGAATATGTCGTTGGAAAAGTGTGTTCAAAATCGTTGTCCTTCTCACAGAGAAAAATATGTACGAAGTGATAATATTGTGATAGTGAGTGTATATTTATTATGAAACAACAAGTGATGTTTTCTTGGAAATTGAAACCTTGAACCTGCACCCTGTCGGTTAGAGGTTGGATACGGCAGTTGCAGTTTGAAACTGACAATGCATTCTACACGTGAGCACACGCAAGTAAGTTATCATTTTTTCATTAGCTATAGGTGCTCCAACCTTTAGATGATTTTCCATAAACATTTTCCAAAAAAAAGAATAATTTTTTTTGTCATAAGTCTCGTGTCAAGAACACGTCGACCGGTTATGCTTGCAGCGCTCCTTCCGTTCATTTTCAGCTTTCAATTCTCTGTCACTTGCTGCACCCTCGCGGCGATATTTGAATGTCTTATCCAAGTGACTAAAGTTCTTCCATACCGACAGTAACCTTAACTGTTTTAGAGATTAAACATTAATTTTGTCTTAAAACAATCGGATTTGAATTGAAACATGTTTTTAAGTATTTATTACATTATTCGTGAAAAAAATATGTATTTTAAAATTATATAATACTAAAAAAATAGCTAGACTGCAGATTTTTTGCACTTTTGTCAGATCGAACAGAGTGATATGTACGATTAAGGTTTTAATGATGACTAATTTGATTTCCTTCTTTATTAAGTAAAAGCATTCATTGCAACACGATATTTTCGTTTCACTTCTCTCTTTATGAATTGATTCTTGAACTTGTTAGAGACTGTAAGAAATTGAAATTTATTAGATTTTACCTTTCTATTTAATTAGTATGTTCATCATCATTATTTGTATCAATACGAAAATGCAACTTTATAATGGTTGTTTTATTTTACGGAAATATATTTTTCGCTTTTATATTGTTATTTATTGAACCATATAACATTAACAATAGTGTAGCCTAATAAGCGTAGCATAATAAATGTAGCATTGTTAACAGTGGTTTTAGTAATATTTTAAAGTAATATTTTTGGTAAAATTACGTCAAAGATTCAGATAATTAGAGAAATCAGGCAATCAGTGTTTCGATATGGAAAGCTGAACTGTAATATATGCATTTTCATTATTATTACGGTAAGAGAAGCAAGGGTCACTTTTGTCACAAGATCTACGTGCATACAAACCAGTTTGACAAAAGGGGACTCTTGTTTCATTGTTGCACAGTGTAAAGTATCACTTTCATGTGCAGCTGTCTCGTGCATGGCAAGCAAAGAGACCAATGTACTCAGGTTTTTGTGTCCTGCATACACAATATGTCTACATTACATGCAGAGTAGCCAAAAGTCGAATGTTTAACATGACTTTTCAACTACATTCAAAGAAATATACTGAAAGAAATTTGTTTTAACATTTCTTAAAAGTTGAATTATGGAAAATGTATTTATGTGTAAATGACCGCGTTACGTGTTATTATGAATGTGTAAAATGTAATAAACCATTTTATTGAAGATTAATCGCAATTCTGGTCCCTATTTTTAAAAAACTTCGTAGCTTTTTACGACTTCATTTTTT